GTGACCGACCCGGGGGTTGCAGCACTCATCTCGCTTTATTGGCCGAGGGAGCTGGCATACAGCTTCCGGCTCATGTGGCCAGCATGACTAAGCCACTTCTGGCGAACCAGAGCAGCACACGGAAACACCGTTTACCTTCCCGCCGGAGCGGTACCTATTTATCTACTTGCACTTTGACGTGCTTTCTAACTGCTAGGTTGGCAGGAGCAGGGACCGAGCAACGGGAGCTCACCCCGTCACGGGGATTCGAACTGCCGACCTTCTGATCTGCAAGTCCTAGGCTCTGTGGTTTAACCCACAGTGCCACCCGTGTCCCTCAGTGCCATCCACGTCCCTCACTGGGACTTACTTGTCGATAAGTGTGTTTAGCATTATGTTGTGTGAAGGGACCCTGCACGGTGTTGTCACGGGAATATAAACTTGGGGAGAATAATCCTGTATCTAAGAACATCACCTTTTAAATATGTGATAGACACATATTTACACGGCCTTTGTTTACCAAACAAATGTTGACCAGGTATTTGTAATTATTAATTTAAAGCAGGTGTAGTGTTATGACGTACTGTGAAAAAGGTGTGCATACTTATAATGGGTTGTATCCAGCACTGTTGTTCTGCCAGCACAGCAGACTTCCATTTGGACAATGGGACTTTCCCCTCCCCTCAGCTTCAACTCCCCAGAGCAAATTTGGAGGGTGTGGGGGAAGAAGAGAGGAAGGGGAAATCCCGTTGCATGGACAGAATTCCGTGCACACAACATTGGCTTCCATCCGATGATGCTGCTGTAATAAACATTGGTTCTTAACTTAAATGTTTGTATTAAATTTTGATGGAAGCCATTTGGGCTCCTCTAAACTGAAGTGGAAATGCAGGGTGTGCACGTTTTTCATAAAAACAATCAGTTATTGTTCTTTGGGTGGGCGTTCTCATCATGACTCTTGTGAGTGTGCTTTCATGTCCATTGTTCCCATGGAACATGTCTCTGTTATCGGATGTACACTAAAAGAAAAGGATCCTCTGCTTCACAGCATCTCTTGGACAGCCTCCCTCTTTCTCTCTCTAGTTATTGCCTGCTGGCATTGCACTTGAAGGAAAATGGGGGGTTGCAATTATGGATCATTGTGAAACATATTGCACACCTGCTGTTTGAGTTGCCTCAGCTGCTTGAATAATCAGAAGGTATAGTATCTACTTCTCCAAGCAGAGAGACTTTCTTTTCACATTTGGAGGCTTGGTAGGAATTCCAGTTTCTCCTTCTCAACACCCATCCCAGGTTATGTACTGCCTCAGTTCGCTAACAACTCCAATGCTAACTCGCCAGAACTCAGGTTGAGGCTGCACAAAAAGAACTGCATCCATTTTTGAATCATTATTGATCCCCTCTTATAACTTACTGAGGACTCTATTGTGTGTCCCAGACATGAATTATGAGCTCATCAGTATCTTGCTGAAGTAAACAATGTACACAGAAGAGCAATTTATTGTTTGCTGCTGCTTCTTTTTAAAGAAGAAATAGTGCCTTATATCCATACTGTAGCATACACACATACACACACACACACACACACACACACACACGAGTTTTGAATGAAATCATTCACAGGGACTGTTAAGAGAACATAACAACTGTCACCTAGGGATGAGGGAAAAATTTTGTTCTAATGCACTGTTCGTGAAACAATATGTGAAACTGAAGCTCAGCTCTCTTTTAAAACTCACACGTCTGTGAATTTTGTGATGCAGTTCTCCAGATCAAATAATAGATACGAAAAGTGTATATTTTAGGAGAAAGGTTTTTGCATTGAATAAAGTTACAAATTATGGATTAATGTCACCAAAATCATATTACAGTGTCACAGCAATGTAAATAAATCATATGGCTTTACATTACTATGCACTTCATTGTTCTAAAACAAAATAAAAATTGATCACATTTCTAGGAATCTTTGTCCTCTTCTTTATCTAATGAAATGTGTAAGTTTTGTTAATATTACCATATTCCAAATCTTTTCAAACCGCTCCAGAATTGATGGTGTTGAACTCTTTCTCTACACTTCACAAAGCAGCTTACGAAAAACAATTCAAAACATAGCCAATAACCTTTATGTTAAAATTATTGCAAAAGCATTTCCACAATACAATTAAAAGTCCGTACAAAAACAACATAGAAAAACCAGGCCACAACACTTTCCACAGCACAGTTTATAATTTCTTGAACTGATTTGGTTCCGCAATAGAAATTTTAATTTGATATTAAGCTGTGCAGAATGAAAAAGCCACTCTTTGATCACTGAAGGGCTGAAACGACTTCTGCTTCTGATCCTTTGGTACATAACAGCATAAGATAAGCCCACCTGGTCAGTCCAGTGACCCACCTAGTCAAGCCGCCTATTCTCAGAGTGGCCTAGTTGAAGCCCACAAACAGAATCTGAGAACAACAACACTCTCCTCTTCTCAAGTTTCCAGCAGCTCATATTCAGAAACATCCTGCCTCCAACTGTCTATATGTGATCAGTGTTTCCCCCTCAACATGAGAACTAGAAATATTTATTTATTTATAAAAGAAGCCTTGTTAAATTCTATACCTGGTTCAGGATTCTATGCATTGTGGCACAAATGCAGAATCATTTATGTCATGTAATAATTTGTTTAACAACATTTGTTCTATGCTTCATTTGTCTTTACTTGACAACATTCATTACCATCATGACTGATTGCGGCTGTCATTCAAAAGCCCATCGCCTGTTTTTTGTTTGTATTTGTTCTTTGTGTGTATGTGTGTTTAATAAGAGTTCTGCAGTCAGTGCATTAAATGGGATAGACAGTAGACAGAAGAGCTTTCCTTTCCCCTGCTCCTAGACATAATAAAGCAATCGTCAGCTGGTGCCAAAATGGAGCGTCCCCTTTGGCACAGCACTGCAAAATTAGGTGCCTTAAAGAGCATTCATTGCTTCAGCATTGACCTGCTTTTGGAGGCAGCAATAGAAGGGCCATTGATCTCTTTCTGTGAGACAATTTGTGTGTTCTAGTAAAGCAATTTACTACAGCAATTAGAATATCCCTGCAGGAGGAAGCAAAGCTGTGGGGAGCTTAAAGCCACTGAAGTCCAAAGATTTCAGGAAAAGCAAATTTTAAAGGTGTCCAGGTTTTTAAATGGAATCTGTGTCACTGCTGAATATTCCTTTAAGCAGGAACCAAGGAGGAGGAAGGGAGAATGTGTTTGTTGATGAAGCATACTGATGTCAGGAGTGCTGGAAAGGGAGGCAAATGATTCATGCCCAGCCCAAGCAGCAGCTGTGCTAAGCTTTCCCGACCCCAGTGTCACTGCACTATTGCCAAGAACATACTTGCCCAGGTCACTCAAGTCAGTGGGGAGCTGATTGCATCATCCCAAAATGCCTTCAGTGAACTCCTCACAATGGGATGGGACGAAAGCAACATCTCAGCAATTCATTGTCTGCATGCCTCATTCATAGGTCTCCATTGCCCTGCCAGTGACCTGGAATGGGAACCTACTATAGCCACTTTCGTGATTGGTAGACAGATGTGGCCTGCAGAACTGGCAAGATGAAGCGCACCAACAGTGCGCAGCAGAATGTCAGCCGGTTGATGAAATCAGTGGGTTGCCAGCTGTGTGTTCTCCTGTGTGCAGCAGGGGAAAGGATTAAGCTCCAGCACGCTTGCTGCTGGAACATATGGTATACCAGAGCTGTTTCTCTTCACTGCCTCGGCTGCGGTGCCTGGAAGGTGGAAACTGACTGCGTCAGCTTGTAACTGGCTTGTTCAGCTGTGAGAACATCGGGGAGTTTCAGGGAAATTTCACACACAAGTTGTCAGCGTTTCCCCTCCGGAGATTCCACATGCTAACATTTTGGATTTGCCAAAGTAGACGTGAGGAGGTGGGAGAAGAGGGTAGCAACAGACTGTTGCTATTATTGGGTGGGATCCAGTCACCTACTGGCAAATTCAGGTTGTGCAATTATAGCTGGTTTGGAGCTCTTGCACAACAAACCTGTTTCCCCAAAGACTGGACTTTTTATGACAAAGAAAATGACTGGGAAATGCAGGGGGAGGTGTGGGATAACGCATGTTTGGGCAGACGCCTCTCTGTAAACAAGTCTGAGTGAATGCTCATTAAATAGCCAGAGTTGTCTAAACTCCCTGCAAACAAATCAGGATGAATGCTCTGTAAACAGGTCATTTAGAAGTAGTAGTAGTAATAACAATGATGATGATGATAATAATAATAATAATAATTTATTTATATCCCGCCCTCTGGGTGGGTTTCCCCAGCCACTCTGGATGGCTCCCAACAGAATATTAAAAACACGATAAAACAGGGCTGCCTTCAGATGTCTTCTAAAAGTCAGGTAGTTGTTTATTTCCTTGACATCTGATGGGAGGGCATTCCACAGGGCAGGCGCCACTATCGAGAAGGCCCTCTGCTTGGTTCCCTGTAACCTCACTTCTCGCAGGGAGGGAACAGCCAGAAGGCCCTTGGAGCTGGACCTCAGTGTCTAGGATGAACAATGGGGGTGGAGACGCTCCTTTAGGTATACTGGGCCGAGGCCATTTAGGGCTTTAAAGGTCAGCACCAACACTTAGAACTGTGCTCAGAAACGTACTGGGAGCCAATGTAGGTCTTCCAGGACCGGTGTTATATGGTCTCAGCAGCCACTCCCAGTCACCAGTCTAGCTGCCCAAAGAGCCAGATACTTCCATCACAGAGATTCCTTAAATACTCTTTCATGCATCAAGTCTCTGTTTTAGATTTTTTGTAACTAAAGGCAAAATTACACATTACATGAAATGGGTGTTGGTGTGGGTGTTTGTTTAAATAGCCATTACCATCAGAACTATTCCTCCTCTGCCTCCTCCATCCATCTGAGCCCCCAACAAT